CTGTAAGGGAAACACTTGCTTCTGACAAACCCTACAACTCAATGAATTCACTACAGTGCTGGCCTAATGTGGTTTCAAATATCCAGTTAATGTTTCTCAAAGTGTGGTCCTCTGACCGTATGTGTCAGAATGAACTTGGCCAAACTGTTCATAACAAGAACGTTGTTAGGGTGACAGGGCCAGCTGTCCAGGGAAGCCCCACGGTTGAGCACTGTGGTTTGGGGTCAGGGTTAGGCCTGGGTGGTGTGGACCGAGTTGCTGGATCTGTCTATTCCTAGCTCAGTGCCTGGTTCTTAATCATCCGGATAGTTTGTTCATTCAGAAGCGATGACGATGATGAAGCTTGCTGTGGTTACTGCAAGCAAAGCCTGAGAACCACATTGGCCCAGAGTCAGGAGTCAGTCAAGGTTTTGTGCCATCAGACACTGGGGTTAGGGTATTCTGCCAGCATAACCTCTGGGGTCCTTTCTAGTCTACCCCAGTGTTCCTGAGTTCCTGCCTTTCTGTCCACTGTCCCCAGGCTTGACTGCTCATGCCTCATAGGGTACCCCATATAATTATTAGTGGGTTTCCCATCATCCTGTCTTAGAAGGCAGGGGTTTACTTAGCTGTATCCTTAAAACCAATGAAAACTATGGGAACTTTCGTTGCTAGTGATAGGGACAAGTTAGCAGGGAATAAAAGTTTATTTGAGACTTCTTCCTTTTTTCCTTTCTTCTTTTCTACTTTGAGTCCAAGCATTTAAGAAAAATACAAGGAGCTTCATTCCTTTAACTGAGGAGAGCTGTGTGCTGTGCTTTGAGATTTACAGCATGTTTGGCTACATGCTGAGTCTGAGGTCTTTCTTGGACTTTTCCTTGGAGCAGTTATTAGACAAAGAGGCTGAGGGTGGAAGTGAGAAAACCAAGTGAGAAGTGTGAATGGTGGGAAGAGAATTAGGTAGAAACAAAGGTGAAGGCGAGACATTTCCCTCCAAGAGAAACAGCAAGAGTAAAGCAGTCATGTGGTCAACCTGTTGGTCACCTGTCAGCTGAAGCTGATGTTCTCAGAGAACTACAGAAAGAAAGGGATAAATATGGGTATCTGAGGATCATGAAAGCAAAAATAACACTGAAGACCTCTGGGAACTTTAGAATAGCCTGAGAAGTCTCCAGCCTTGTGAAACGCATTCAGGCCTGGCAAAGCAGCGGTACTTGACACTTCTCTCAGATCCAGAGACTGGGGGTGGGGATCGGATCATTGCTGGGGTTGAGAACTGAGCTGACTGGCTCTACCGTGAAAGCATCATGGGCAGTAAGATGAGTGAGAGAGCTCAAGTATGCTGACAACCAAATGCCATGGGCGGAGGCACCAGAGACCCACAGCAGAGCCAAGAATCCTGAGTTTTAACAGCATTTCTGTACAACGTGAAGGAAATACAGCCTATCTGCAAATGCCCGAAAGAGGGTGAAAAGATCATAAAAACCCCTAAAATCACAGAAATATTTATGAATCCATAGAACTTACATTAAAAATGATGAACTATGTCAGGTGAAGTTAATTGACCTCAATAATGTACAGCAAACCCAGCTGGCAGGAATCATAAAACAAAACTCATATGGGATTTTGATTTCTGTGTATGACATTTTCATGGTTGAACTAAAATAATAGTATGGTAGCAATCATAATAATGATACTAAACAACCTGAAGTAGTCTCTTAGGTGACTACCTAATGACTTAAGAGAACTGTTAGATGTCAACATTTGGAGATTTATTTGGAAGATAGACAGGTCGTTTCCAATTCTGGGGGCGTTTTAAGATATATTCTATTTTCTATGCTTCATTGGTGAAATATATTTTAATTAGAAAATTTATTTTTAACGCCCAAAAATACAGATCTGCATTTTAAAAATAAATCTCTCTTTGCCCACTATATTCTCAAACATATGAGAAAATTGTTACGTTTAATTTTTCCACTCTTATGTAAATATATTTCTACATTCACTTATAGGTTTTATATCTTCCATGACATAAAATGTATTCTCCAACTTATTTATTTCTTAACACATCATGGCTATCTGTGTTACTATATTTAAATGTATATAATTTTTATGGGCTGTAAATCATTACAAAAATATAAACGGGTTAAAGTGTTCAGTTTCACCTTTATGACTGGATATTACACATTGCCTGGTGCAGCAGTATTCATGCCTGCGACGATATGTTTATGCCACCGTGTTTGTAACATGCATTTGGCATACTTTTATGTATTATTTAATAGATATAACTGTAACTCAAAAGGTTTTAGACAAGTGAATGACAGTGCATATTTCCAGATATTCCTACCTTCACTGCATCATTCTCATCTTCAAATTTTTCTTCATTTAGATATTACACATCACTTTTGCTTTTACTTATATTTTTGTGTGAACAAGTGAGACTTTGCAAATTCTGTGTAGTGAACTGTACTTGTTCTTTTGAACTGCCTGCTATGTCTTTGTTCAGATATTCCTGGGTTATTTGCCTTTTTTCCTACTAACTTATATGATTTTGAATATGTACACATGAGCATGTTAGGGAGGCAGGTATGTAGGAGGGAGGCACAAGATAGCTATGAGTTTCAAGTCATTTCTCTGTTTACAATGTTTTCTTTGGCTTTATTTATGGTACCATTGAGCATATAAAGTTATAAAAACTTTATTTGCTTTAGTTTGTTCCACTAGAAATGATTGTAAAATGTTAAAAAATATGTAAAACACACATTTAGTAATTTTTTAAACCTAGATTTTAAATTAATTTATTTTTAAAAAAAGATTTTATTTTTTTATACAGAACTGGGGTACAGGCCAGAGGTGCAGAGGTAGTGGGGGGATTCACTGGAGACAGAGTGGGGAGCAGACAGGCAGATCAATGAAGTACACTGCTGAAGGGCGACAGGATAGGTCTGGCGCACCATGTGAATCACCTCTGGGGCAGGGGATCAAACTGGTATTGAAGCTTCTGAGGCTAGCTTGCAGTGCTGTGTCCTAACCTGCTGCACCACCAGGGAGGGCCTAAATTTACCTTCTAACAAAATGGATAGCCAGATGCTATTTGATGAACTGTCTACACTTCTCCAGGGAACATGAAATATTATATTTTTCTTTTATTAAATAACCATGTACAGGGGCCTCTCTGGGAGCCTAGAGGTCAAATCTCAGTGTTATCACCTCTAGAACCGGATTTCAATCCCTGGCCAAGGAGATGACCCACCTGGCTCAGCAGATCTCTCCTGTCTCCCCGCTGCTCTGCTCAGCATTGTATCTAAGCAGAGCTACCTATTCTGTTCCTGCTCTGTCTTTGGTGAATCCTCTCACCCCCACACCTCTGTCCTACACCCAAGCTCTTCTACATACACACATGCAAGGAACAAAATCACCATATACACTTGAAAATGTTTTTAGATATTGATTAATTTCACTGGTTTATATTTTGTTCTTCAAGACAGAGAAAGATGGAGAGTTTCTTATCAACTTATCCCAGTGTTAAGTCCAAGCAGAAAGACCATTTCATCAATATATACTTCAAAACATGAGGTGGCAAGTCTTTATGAGCACATTAGAGACTAAGAAAGAACTTCCTCAAAAATGATAAAGACCAAGAAAGATCCTTTTTGGAATTTCCTTCATACCGAACTATCATGAAATAACTAGATTTCAAAAAGCACCAAAGATTTCCCTCCCAAAGTCAAGAATAAGATGAGGTGTCAATATCCACATTATTATTCAACATTGTTTTAGAAACATGAGGTACAAAATACTTATTAGAAAAGAAGAAAATTTTAATTGCTTGCAGATGATGTACTACACACTTAAAAATCAAACAGGATCTGTTAAAATAAGGGAGTTAAATAAACTAGTTGCAGATCTAAAACTCAATAGTTTTTTAAAAATATTATTTATGAAGAGTAAGAAAAATAGAGTCTAAAATTCTACTAAATACAGTTACTTTACTATAAACAAAATACGATGGTATGCATCACACCTGTTATTTTTTCAGTAAGTGTGGAAACACACTGAGATATACTGATATTACCTGAATCTGCCCTTTCTTTCTCCCTTTTTAGAAAATTTTGTAGTTGAAAGTGAGCTTTGAAAGATAAGTATGAAATAATGGAATTGAAAAATAAACAGGTAAATTTATGGCAGAAGTTAATTTGGATTGAATAGTACAATATAAAATATGTGAGATTAGTCCGATCAGCATAATATGTACACTAGTAAGTAGTTTATATGCACAGAGATACACTTAAGAGCTGAGAAAGGGTTTTTGCTGTGGTGTGTAACTTTAAATAAATCTCAACGGGATACATCACTTTTTCAAGATTAATGATGCTATTTATATTCCCCTCCCTTCAGTTTGACCTATGTGGGACTAAAATTTTATCATTTCATCTTCTGTAAAGGAAGAACTGGTTTCCTGTGCTCATTCAATAAACATCTGCTAAACAGAACATGCAAGCCGCCCCAATTCTTGCCCCAAATAAAGCAGCTTGTGCTGATATCAAAAGAAGCAGCAATTTTATAAGTTTCTCATACTCTAAATGTATAGACACTAATCCAACAGATATTTACCAGTTCTTTATAGCTATCTACAGGGTTCTACCATTAATTATTTTTGGAAGAAATGTGTCTCTTAAGATAGAAACTATTATACAAAATTCTCACAGACTATAGCCTCAGTTAAAACGCATCTAGATAAATAAAACTAATTCTTTCTGTTACAATACTGAAATATTTCTCAATGGAGAGATATTAAGTTGGATAAAAGCAAAAGAAAAGCTTGAATATCACCAGTGAATGTAAAATAACAAGGAAATGGAAGTATCTACAGGTGATGTGGGTTGAAAGAATAGCTTATTGCAGCATTTGGAATTCTCTACTGAAAAAGAGTAGAAGAAAATAGGAATAGTGAAGTCGATTAAGAATGAACTGGGAAAAAGCAACTTTACAAAATACAGGATTGAAGGCGTCATCTTTACCTCTTTCACCAGTAAGTTTTCTGCTTTGCACTCCGCATCTTCAGGAACAGTGGAGTACAATGTTCGGATATCCCAAGACACGGTGGCTGTCTGGAAGGAACAATGAGAAAATGACATTAAGCCCTTCAATATAAAAGCCCTGCACAGACCACTATCTCTGAAACACAAAAAGAAAGTGTTTTAGATCTTAGCATTGAAGGATAAGAAAAAACAGAGATGGGAGTAAATGATAAAAAAAAGATGTGGTATGTAAATACTGTGGCATACTATTTAGCTATGAAAAGGGAAATCTTGTCATGTGTGACAACATGGATGGACCTGCAGAGGAGTATGTGAGGTGAACTAAGTCAGAAGGAGAAAGGCACGTGCTGATGGATTCATTCATATCTAAAAGATAAAGAAACACAACAGGGCCTTCCTGGTGGCCTGGGGTCAAGTCTCAGCACTATCACCTCTATGACTTTAGTTCCATTCTGCACCCGGGAACTGATCCACAGGGCACAGCAGATCTCTCCTGTCTCTGTGCTGTTCCCCTCAGCAGAGTATTTCAGTCCATCTGCCTGTTCTGCTCCCCATTCTGTCTCTGGTGAATCCTCTCACACCCCCATCTCTGGTCTACATCCCAGTTCTTCTATGCAAAAATAAACTTAAAAAAAGAAAGAGGCAAAACGAAGGAACAGACAAAACTAAACCAAACAAACCCTAGAACCAGAACAAGGCAGAACTGAGGCTGCCTAAGGGCTGGTATATGGGGAAAAAGTGGGAGGTGGGCCCACTGGACTGTGGTGGAGATTAGGGTGCTTAGGTAGGTGGGTGGTGGGACTGTTGTGTTAACATACATCTAAAGAGGTATGAACCTGTATCCCTAGACCATATATATTGCTATAAACCACTGTTACTTACATCAAAAAGAGTTACTTTTTTTTTTTTTAATACAGAGAAACTCCTGTGCTTCTTAGTAATTTATTTCATTTCTAGGAGTGAAGAACCAAACTACTAGCATTATTACAATCAGTGTTTTATCAGTGAGAATCCTTCCTTCTGAAGAAAATTTGGAACTGGTATGCTGACCAGTTCATTTCAATTGTTAGATATTTTTGTTGCTCTTTACTTATCTTTTAAAGGTTATTTTATTTACTTATGCATATAAGAACTGGCCAGAGGTGTGGGGGCTTAGCGGATTCACCAGAGATGGAGTGGGGAACAGAAAAAGCAGATGAACTGAAATATACAGTGGGGAGACAGGAGAGGTCTGCTGCACCCTGGGGGTCACTTCCTGGCTGGGGATGGAATTCAGGTTGCCGTAGCTAGCGATAGCGTGACAGTCCTGAGACTTTAACTCCTATGCCACCAGGGAAGCCCATTTGTTGTTCTTTTTAATGCTAAAATAAATTTGAAATGAGGCAAAAGTTACAGAAGGAGCATTATTTAATCTTATTCAATAATATCTGAACCAAGGTAAACTCAGTCACTTTTAGGTTATATGTCTGGGTCTGTGTGTGTATGTACGTGTATGTGTACGTATGTTGCACATAAGTGCGCATACATTTGTTGAAATAAAACATTTCCAACTTCAAGGTCGAACCAAAAACTCAAGTGACTATATACCAACTGCAAGTATAAAGTACATCTTTCAACAAACCACTGAGACAGAATTTTGCAAACTGTCCCCTCTTTCTGTACTTCGAGCTCATCCACTTGGGGAGCTTGGGGTGCCTCAGAATAGCAGGTTTCTATCACTAATTACCAAATGTCTTCATCTGTGCTCCGTGTGGGCCCAGACTCATCACTAACAGGGGGATTTTTTAAAAAAGATTTATTTATGCATACAGAACTGAGGTACAGGCCAGAGGTAGAGGGGTGAAAGGATTCACCAGAGACAGAGTGGGGAGCAGGACAGGCAGATCTACTGAAATACACTGCTGAGAGAAGCAGTGGGCCGTCGGGAGAGGTCTGCTGAGACATGTGGGTCACCTCCCTGGCCGGGGATCAAACTCCGTGCTGCAGTGGCTTCATAGTGCTGTGCTTTAACCAGCTGCGCCACCAGTGAGGGCCATAACAATGGGATCTTTTATTTTCACATCCCTAGACAATAAGTGGTTCCTCATGATTGCTAAAGCTCCCCAGAACTGCTCTAGATGAAGGGTATTTTTCTAGACTAATTATCGGAACAGACAAGAATATAAAAACCCTACCTTAGTTTTGAAGAAACTAAGTAAAGCATTTTGACTTCTGAGTTCATAGCTGCTGTTGCAAACTGTGCCACCAAGACTTTTCTGCTGAATCTAGACTTCCATTTTTTTGTAATCTCCCTTTTTCTCCCCACTGACCTAAGCTCCACCAGGGCAAAAAACCCAGCCTGTTTGCTGTTAAAATTTTGGTGACTCACATATTAAAAAAATGTTCAACATCCCTTATAATCAGGGGCATGCAAATCAAAACCAACCAAAATGAGATACCTCCTCACAAGAGTGAGAATGGCACACATTAAAAAACAAAAAACAGGCCCTCCCTGGTGGCGCAGCGGGTTAAAGCACTGCACTGAGAAGCTAAAGCCACTTCTGCATGAGTTCAATTCCCGCCTGC